CTCTTCCACTGTCATGTAAATTGTGAGTAAAATCTATAAAAACTATGAATGAATATTTATGCACTGCAGCCCTTCTCATTTGTTTAAAACCTGCTTTGAAGTTTGATGCATGACAGGCTGAAAGTTTGCAGATAAAAAAACATAAATAAGCAGAAATAGTAAAACGGCTCAGACAGAATTTCGCCTGGCTACGGACCTCTGAAATCTATTCTGGCTAAAGCATCAGACATGCTTTTAAAAGCAAGCGACATTTTTCTTTGGGTTGGCGACACCAAGCAAGGCTTGTGCTGGTGGCAGAAATTTATTTATTCATTTATTTATTTATTTTTGTAATTTCCTAACCTGGTTCCAACGAGACTTGTTCGTGTAATCTCAGAAATTATATGAAAGAAATTTGATGGGAAAATGTAACAAAGATCTAACAATTTTCTGAAAATCTTTCTATATGTTTTATATAAGATGTAAATTGTATTGTGCAAATGCGTATGTAGTTATAAATTAAGGACTAATACTTTATTGCAGCTAAACATTTGATAGCATTTAAAAAACAACCTGAATGACTAAGACACAAAACAATGTTCGTCTTAAATTAAGTAAAAAGTACTTTTTTTTTTTTTTTTTTTTTTTTTTTTTTTGCTTGTTACCGGTTAAAAATCATTACAGTTTCATCTGCTACAGCTCAAACAGCCAGTGGCCTTTTAAAATATTCATGCATTCTGGGTATTTATACTTTCAGTCAAATCTCTCCTGTATTTTCTGACCTGAGGCTCAATACGAGTTTGAAAACAGAATGCATCTCGGTGTGTGCCGATGTGACAAATAAAACAAATCCTTTGATCTCACCAAAAAAAGCGGCCTGCCAATAAGATCGTTTTTATGCTGCGTGTTCACAGCTGCTAACGTTAGTGTGATTAAGAAAGGAGCGTCTGCCTAGGAACATTATTTAGATGGATATAGTCTTTAGAGACATAGCAGTGAACGGTTTAGTACCATAAGCAATCCTTTATTGTCATAAAAATAATTCCCAGTACACCACAAAACTCATTTCAGTTTTTCTCAGTTTATTAATACAGCAAAAGATCATAGTAAAAAGCACATTTATGGCAATTATGGCTCAAATAAATGTAATTATACTCAGACTCAGTTGTGTAGAACAACGTGCCTAATGGATTCAGTTTCAGGGAATCTCTCATCCTAATAAAGCCTGAGTTGATGGGAAACAAGAAGCCTCCTGGTGAAGGATTTTTGCACAGCACTAATTTAAGACTGCTTTATACGCATAATAATAATTATGACATGATTTTACTACCTTTTAAAAATGGTGGCACGAGGACTTGTTGACAGCAAAGGGATGAGTTGGATAATGATAAAAATGAATGGGTTATAAATAAAACACTTGTGGTTGAATGTTATATTTATGTTCATTTGAGCCTGCTGGTTGTGAAAATCATAAAACATAATTGGGATGATAAAATTACGCGCTAATTATGTCAGCATTAAAGGAGCATTTCAGATTTTACGAAAATGGGCTGGGTTAAAAGATCAGTAAATACCTTATCTACAGAGGATTTCCATGTTTAATTTAAAACATCTGAAATGGGATTTCAAGTTTTGTGATTTTGCTTCGATTTAAACTAGAAACCTTTTTTTTTCTGTCATTTTTACCCAGTCACCCTAAAAAGCTGCTTTTCTATGCATTTCATTTAACTGTAGACACACACACGCTTCTTTTCCCCAATCTGCCTCCAACAGAAATATGAAGAGGACGAGTGATTTTTACTCAGTGGTTGTTGACCTTGGTGGTTGACCCTTATGTGAAGTGATTATCCTGTAAGTTGTCAGCCTGCCTCACCTGTCTCTGAGACTCTGCGGCTGTCTCGTCGCTGGGCCGGCGCTCTTTGCCATCAGACATGATCCCTGTCGCAGAAGGAAGTCGAGTGTAAGACTTTGGCTCACTTTTAAGGCACTTCCACAAGCGAGCCACTGTGTGCTTATAAAGTTCTTTTGCCTGTCAAATAAACACAGAGTATCGTGTGGTTAGGTGGGTAAATTATTATGTGTTTATAATTCTGACGGTGTCATGTGAGAGCTGCCGTCTTTAGCAGGCCTGCAGTACTTGGAACCCGAAACCCACGCGCATTAAAGTTAAGACACACACGTTTGTCGCAGCCCGGTTTATACTTGCACTCTTCCACTATTGCCTGCTAAAGTGCACCTTGGAAAACATCTGACAGATATAGCTTAGCGCTTTAAATATAGAAAGGGATACACCGATGAAAACCTACACAGCTATTTAAGAGGAAACACAGACATCACATCTGTCACATGCTGTACTGCTGACATGATTGCAGTTGGTAACAAGTATGACTCACTCTCAACCTCTACGCTTCTAATTCATAAACCTTAAAGTAATTGCAGTGATTACAGTGGCAGCAAGTACACTTCAACACATGCTGGGTTTTGATTTTCTGAAACAAATTATCCTAACCCTTTCAGAGAGAGAGTAGGAAGAGGGGGTGGAAGGTGGTGGAAGGGCTGTTAACAGCTGAATAACTGGGTCAGTTTAAGATCACGGTGTTTCTTATCTCTTCAGCTCATCTCTGGGTGTTCACTGTTATCTGCTTGGCTTTTCAACAACCGTTCAATTCTCGGCCCATTTCCAGCCCTCTATTCCTACCCTTACTTTGCTTCTGCTGCTGGAGTAGAAGCTTATCTTCACGGAAATGTTGATTTTCTCTTACGTGCTCCAGAATGTAATGTCCTAAAGAAATAAATGTGTTGTCAATTTGTGTGTTATCTTTAAAATTGTGGTTTTAGATATTAAAGATGTTTCATGTGGAGCTTCACTAAGAAAACATAAGTCTGTTGTTGGATGTCTAGAGATTTGGTGGTTTGATTTTGTTTAAACAGGTTCTGTAAAATTTGGAAGCTGTTCAACATTTTACTCCTCAATTACTGCCACACTAGGAACACAATTTCCTTTTATAAAATTTTAACCTGATTTATGTTTTCACTTTGTAGGGGTGTAAAAATACATCCAACTCATCAAAAGTTTTTTTTTTTTTTTGTTTTTTTTTTACACATAAAGAGTTTATGAATTTTAAACTGCAAATGAATTTCTGTTCAGTGGGAATTATGTAGTCATAGTTTGGTTTAAATAATGAACTAGATGATTAAATGCATCCCATTGTTTAAAGACTCATTAAGGAAATGCTACCATTTGTGTTGTTAATGTTGTAATTAAAGGACTGCCAGTTGCAGTGTTGTTTTAATTGCATTGTTTTTATTTGGTGTGTCTCTCTGCCACACTTTCCTTTTTCTGTAGAGTTCCAAAATATAGCAATTTAAAGCTGTTTAAATGTGGAAGTTAAGGAGTGTTGTGGCCAGACAATAGGCAGTCTTTATTTGCTGGCTTGGTAATAAAAAAGTTTAGGTAACAGACATAGATACAGGGTGTGAATTTTAAATAAAAGGCCTTATCTTCACCTTTTGAGACTTGCATCAACCAAGTCGTATGACTACATCTTAAAGATGGATTTTTTCACCAACACATCTGAATCAAACGACTAAATTACTGTCTCAGCAGATTGTCAAGTTCTGTAGAGGCCCAGTAGAGAACCAGGTTGCAGCTACAGAAAAAGTTTTTAATTTGTTGAGTACTTGCACTGTCAAAGTGGCCCTGGCACCATCGGTAGTTAGTGTTAGAAATGAACAATACATGACAATAGAAAATCCACTATAGGATTTGTAATTTTTTTTAGCAACATATTCATTTTCTCAGACACTCCTGAACATACAGAACTCATTAACAATGCTCAGTTTGTGTTAATTCAACTTAACTTTGGTGTTTCTTTTATATATATATATATATATACCGTATTTGAATTATACCATGTCCTCTAGTCTATTTATGCCTTTCTGACTTTCTCCTATGAAATATGACTGGTTTTAGAACAGTGTCCTGTTTGAGCCTTCACATTGTCTTCTTTGTGTAGACCATCATTAATGTCGTTGGTTCAAAAGGTTTTATTGCTACCATCCTCAGTCCAAGTGGCAAACCATAAAACATTTAGTAGGATTTTTGGTGTTTATTTCATACATCGGCCGCAATGCATTAAATGAATACAAAGGAGAGCCGCATGAAAGTAATCAAGCTCTCATCATCAATAATGGACGGAACAATCAAAAGGGACAGTGGGCTTCCTTTGTGAGATGGCTGAATGGGAGGAAGGGCCGCTGGGGAGGAACCATTATGTGTCGCTCCACTGCTCAGCTGTTGCGAAGATGATGATTGTTATGGTTGCAATGATGATGGGGATGTGAAATCTCATTTTGGCAAGATGGCTCTGCTGGAGGGGATTGCTGCACAGTCCTTGCGTATGTTGGCATTAGAGGCTGCTGTTTTGCATAGATTGGGTTTTAAGTTTGGAACATAATATGTGAATACTTTCTCGTACCCCTGCTTCTTAGTTAAACTCATTAGTAATAGAGGTACATCTGCACATGCGCAACTTTCCTGCACAGTTAAAATTTTCCACAATCCAAGGATTTACTCAATGTAGGATGTTATGGATGCTGTTCCATACTTGTCAACCATCCCCAAACACTATGAATTAAGCACTGCTGAACATATTAAACATCTGTTGTAGCTTCACCTTCTGTCAGTTGTTCCGACAGCTGTGTGTCCCTTTTTTTTTTTTTTTGCTTTCTCATTGTGCTGGATTGACTGGGTTCAATAGACAGTATTTGCTGACATATAGGGTGCATTCATTATTCAGTGCATGCTTTATGAAATGTCTAGGGTCCTACAGCCGACAGGAGGTAAAGCAGGAGGTAATGCACTATTTAATAACAGAGGCTGTAACTACTGTTGTGGATTATGTTCGGTGCTGCTGAACACAACTCCTGTCTTATTGACCACCACATTAATCAGCATATTTATAAGATTAATGCCACTGAGTACATCAAGTAATATTTCCTTTTTGTCCTTCTTTCCTCAGGTGGTGCTAGTCTTTGCTCTCAGCATTGGAGCCCTCGGAATATACTTTATAGACTCCTCAGAGTAAGTATCTCCAAGAGTCAAGTCACTACTCATTCTATATTCTTACCTAGTGAACTGATCTACTACGATTTACAAATAGATTTATGTGTGCTGAAGATTTAATGGACATATTCTCACCTCTCACCACTGAAGGGATGCATGCTATCGTAAACCCATATGCGTTTGAGGTTTTGTCAATGGGAGGCCTATCAGTTTCCATGGCAGCAGGGATACTCGGTGTGTATGTTGCAAAGGCAGCTCCGTGTGTGTGTGTGTGGGGGGGGTGTGTGTGCCCAAGACTCTGGATGTTGTCAGTTTATGTGAATCCCTTGCTGGCGCGCGCCCAGACACAGATTGCAGTCCTGGCGTCTCTCCCATACCCAATGCAGCTAGTTTTTCAACATATTGACTCATTTTCTAGCTTTTAGAGGGATAGCTTGGATTTTAGGATTCTCACCGTCTTCGTCAGCCTGTCGTCTTTGTCACCTCTGCGGTGTGTGCCACAGTGTGGAAAGTCAGAATACAGCAGCTAACAAGAGACGCTTAAATCATTTTGTTCATTCTAACTAATTTTAATAGGTGGTGAGAGAATGTGTGCAGTGTGACTGTAATTGCTGCCATTGAAGCCACTTGAGTAGGCTGACTGAGAGACAGAGGAAACACAGACTCTGCTGTCATGCCATGCTAGTGTTATGAATATGCATAATACAATACTTTGCAAAAATATTAATATGTCTTCTAATTTTTAGCATTCTGTCACATTACAACTTCAAATATCAATATATTCTATTTAGATTTTATTGGATACATAAAAAAAGTAGAGTAAATAATGTCACCGTTAGAAGGTAATGATACATGGAGTTTGAGATGCGATGCAGAAAAGAATGGGCACAATTACCGTAAAAAAATCTAAATAAATATAGATGCCTGCCACACTTTTCTAACACTTTTATCTGTAAAATGTTGTTTGAGTGCCATATCTAAGCACTACTACTGTTATGGTCAATCATATAAAATTCTACTTCTAAGTCACATTATTATTATTATTATTATTATTATTATTATTATTATTATTATTATTATTATTATTATGTATTTATTTTTTTTATTTTAAACATTCTTAAAGGATGTATAATAATTTTGACTAATATTGAGCTGCAACAAAATAAAAGAAAACTGTAACTTTGAGAGTTACAACAACACATCATGATAAGCCATTGAGATCTGTCTCACTTTTTCTCAGATCGAGGGCAACAGGTTTGCTTTTAAGGGAGGTATCTAAAAAATATAACTGCTTGTACTTTGGAGTTGACTTTATTGTATTTACTAAGCAAAACTATAGGTATTGAATGCATCATCTGTAGTTTTTTAAGTTTTTTATTATTAATTACCATAACATTATCAAATTATAAACTAGGTCTATAAAATTGCTTGTTTTTTTTTTTTTTGTCATCAGATTTATTTCCCTCTTAAATGACGTGCAGGACTTTGCAATAAAAGTCATATGCACATTTTTGTGGCGTGTTTTCACTTTAATTGAGAGTCTTTAAGCTGTGAAATTATGTCCTGGAGGAAAGTTAGTCAAAGGCACAGAGAGATACTGTTTAAAATGTGCTGAAATAAATCTAAATTACAATCCAGCTTGTTCAGTCTTATCTCTTAGCACCAGTGGAAATTTATTCTTAGCATGAATATAGTCATCCTTTTTGTACCTCAGGATAAATCCTGGCTCACTTTATGTAGTCTGTCGTGGCTCTACCTTTGTTGTCATTTGTCTGTGATATTTCTTCCTGACAATGTTCCATCTTGGGAAATTTACTTTCCAATAATCAAACAATGACTTAAAAATGTTTTGAGTCGAATCTTTTTCATCTAAATCATGAACAATAATCCTAAATGATTGGTGACATGGTTACACTGATCCATTAATTAAACCACAGGCAGAGCAGAGGTGGACTGTTCAGCCAGGTTGGCAGTTCTACCTAAGAAACATAAAAAGACAACAACGATGGACGCCTGAAAACATAATGTACCACATATAGCAAATAGCAATTGACATATACAGAAAGTGATGATTGTTAACATAAAGCTTTGATTTCTGTCTGTAATGTTTCTCTTTGGTTCCAGATTGTTACAGGGTGTATTTACGTGTGATTGGGCTACCCAGAGGCACTTCCCTGATCGCTTGTGCTCCCATTGAGACGAGACCCCTCATCATAGTGATTAGGTCAAGCTTGTCACTGGGATGTGTACATGCTTCTGTGTTGGAAACTAGAGATCCATCCCACCCTGGAGGTTTTAAACATCACTAACACTTGCTTCCGTCACAGCAGCTTAAGTTTCTGATATAATTGACTGCATGTGCACAGAAAACATTTTTTTATTTTCACCCGTTAAACAGTCCAATGTGTGTCATGTTGACCGTTTTCATGAAAGGTTGGTTGGTTACAAATAAGAAAGTGATGTTTAACACAATTTCTTTCAGTATTATTCATACTCACAAGGTGAACTGCTTCACAGATGACCTTCTCCTCACTCAGCCTCCCTTGTTATTAAATGTTAATGACTGAGCAATCAATAGGCACAGATTTATAGGTCGTTCTTTTAATGGAAGCAATTACTCTCCCAAATACCGAAGGCGGACACTCTCCTGGACCAGGCAGCCTCCAATGGTTTGTCTATCAACAACCAATCTGCTATTTTAGCCGCTGGATTAAGTGCAAATTATTCTGAAATTGTCTGGAAAAAAGGCAACACTAATGGGAGGGAGTGGTTGAGTGCTGAAGAAAGAGACATTTGTGGAAAATAAGTGGCATTGATTCATATCTTGGCAGCCCGAAGCCATTTGAGGGGCTTCTATATACTTTATTTAAATATAAATATGTACTTTGTATTCCTACTTGAATAGAGCACAGCAACTCTCCCTACTGTTCCCACCTTTCTGCAGGGTGCTATCCTGGTTGCACAAAAAACACAGGAAACCCTTCTGCCAGAGCACATCGACAAACTTTAAATGAGGGGATTGTTAACTTTCAAGATGCAATATTAATATAAATGAGTTTCCTACTGTTTGTTTTCACAATGTGGTTGCTTATCACAGTACACTGCCTGTTCTGTTCCTCTGCAGTACACTCCGCTTGCCAAACCGATTCTATTTTCACAGCGTTTTCAATGGGAGGATCGTGCGTCCTTACCCACCCACATCTGAATCTGCTTTAATACCTTGGCTCATCTTTTATCCTCCATCCCTCCTTTTTTCCTCCTCTGTGCTCCCATGAAACAAAGAGGAATGTAGGACAAAGTCTCTGCAGGCTGCTCCTAAAGGGATGCCCTTGTTCCTGCTCCAATTCAGTTTCTATTTCTCTCCCCTCTCGATCTCACTGTGCCACACATGCAGACTTGTGTGCCTGTGTGTGTGTGCGCGCGTGTGCGTGTGTGTGTGTGTGTGAATGCTCCTGCACAGTCATGTTAAATGGCCGGAGTAGTTTTGTAATTTTTCAAAAATGCATTCAAGATACCTTAAAGGCAGCATCTCGTAGCTGTAACTCTACCAGTAGTGTGAGATCAATGACAGCTCTGAAAAAAGAAACAGCACTTAATGACTAATTAATGGAGTAAGGTGAGAAATATGGCAGAGGAGCAAGACATGCTCTGTAGACTTTCTGACGACAAATGGTAGCCCTGAGCAGGACCTTTCCATTTTGGGTGCTGAGAGGATTTAGAAGTGCCAAGGGCGATATTTTAGTCTTTAAAAGAATGACATGAGTTTATAAAAAATACGGAAGGGGAAGGTTTTGCTAAAATTGATGACTAATTGAATAAGGTGTAGTTTCTGAATGCCAGCAGTTTATTAGCTAAGAGCTATTTTCTCACTTGAGCTTTATGTCTTATCTACTAATTGGGCGTCAACAACATATTAACGGATAATAAGACATTTATTGTGAAAAATCACAGCACTCACTTATTATTTTGGAACCTCTGTCTCTCTCAAAGTAAAAGAGGTTTTACCAAATGTTTTCATGGAAAGCTTAATTGATTTACAGGTAATGTCATTTGTTCTGTTACTGTCAATCCCTTGCAAGAAAACTCAAACTTATTGCTTATTCTGATCCCTTTATCTTATAATTTTTGGTGGGGGGGAGGGGAGGGGGGTTAATGATGTTCCATAAAGCACATAAATATTGATTGATTGAGATTTTGGTGACAGCAGATGCTTTAGAGGTGATTCAATTCAGCGTGAGAAGCAAAGAGAATCATTTAGCTGGTATCTGAACAGCAGTGGTGAGTTTCTTTTTTACATTGAGTTTAAAATAGCGTGACTGATTTTGGATGTCCACAGTCTAGATATGCTTTATGCATCGACACTGCAGTTCCTGCATAACATTGCACCATGTACAGTGAATGATACATATTGAAATCCATGCAAAATTATACAATCAGGTCTTAATCAACACATCATTGCCTTTTCTTCATGTTTTTTTTTTTTTTTTTTTTTTTTTTTTTTATTTGGTAAAATTTTCCAAAAACCCCTTTTTCCTTTCACCTTTCCTCTTTTTTATATCCCAATTTTTT